AGATCTTCTAGTCCCTCCTTGCTAACCCCAACCCTAATCACCATGCAACCTGTGCAATTCAGCCAAGTCTTCGACCAAGCTTAATCGAGTCCACTAATCATCCACTAAGTGTGGTGTTGACGACAACCATGCAACACCCACATGATGCGATATTACAGTGCATATGCAATATAATGTCTCATTGTACAATGATAACATATTCAACATGCTATGAAAGACAAATGAACAATATCAATGCATTTCACATATCCCATGACAAAATTATATCATAAGCATATAATTCTCATAATTCTCCACAATATCAATATAACACAAGTATATATATACATTGACAATTTTCATATCACTATTTTACAACACAATTTCAAGCATGTTATTACAACTTTTATGTCAATAACACACTTAATCACAAAGGTGCAATATACCACATAACTACACATATAGTAACCCACATAACGACCCTTATATAAACCACAAAATAACCCCTATATAAGCCACCAAAATAACCCCTATATAGGTCATAAAACAGTCCTAAATTTAGCCACAAAACAACCCTTAAACAAGCCATTAAGCAACCCAAAAGACAGCCACAAAATAACCTATAAATAGGTCATTATACATCCCAAAAGATAGCCACAAAATAGCCCCTACATAGGCCATAAAACAATCCCATAAGACAGCCACAAAATAGCCCCTAAACAGGTCATAAAACAGCCTAAAAGATAGCCACAAAATAGCCCAAAAGACAGCCACAAAACAGTCCCTATATAGGCCATAAAACAGCCCCAAATTCAGTCCAAAATACAACCACATAACAATCTATATTTTAACCAAAAACGGTCCATCATTTCAACCCCAAAACAGTCCATAATTTTAGCCCCTAAACCAGCCCTAGAACAACCCCAAATGAGATGAATAAAACTCAAGTAGGAAGGACCCTACCTCTTGTAGCGTAGAAACTTCAAGAATACCAAAATCACATCCAAAACTTGATTTTCCCAAATATCATCCTTTGGATCTTTAGTGAAATCCTTCGTTCTTGGTGTGATTGCATAGCCCTTGTCGACATGATCAATTTTAACTCTTGGCCCGACAGATTCTGACCAACGGAACTCCGAAAATCGAAGAAGAAAGCGTGAAGATTTCTCTTGTCTTCTCTCTCTTTCTCCCACACATTGGAACCAGCTGAATGAAGAGTGAAATATTTGGTTTTTCAGATATTTAACCCCTATTTATAGCCCCTTAATGTGCGGTCCAAATTGCACCACATATTTTCGACTTTTAGATCCATTTTTCGTCCCGAAGCGATTCATTATATCCTGGTTTAAATTTAAATTAATTTTATTTAAAATTTTATAAATTTTATTTTTAGGGACCTTTAAAAGGTCATTCGTCACTAAATTATCTCGTAAAACGTACAAAATTCGACTATCTCAAAATTCAACGAACATTGACAAGACAACTCAATTTTGCGATACGAATTCAACGGTGAAGTCCGTTGCATCATCCCAGCTCTAGAAAAATATGAATTTTAAACTCACATTATAGTGACAAATTATCATTTTGCCCTTTTTTCAAAAAAGTTTAAATTTTTCCCGAGTTTTACATTGTTGTTTCATGTTGTTCACTAAATATTAAATTTGAATGATTTGTGTTCATAATATTACTTATAATTTTGTATCGTTTATCTCGCTTGTAATTTTGTATCATTTTTCTCGGATATTTAGATTTTAATTATTTAGTAAATATTATTATTTTGTGTTGTTCACTAAATATTAAATTTGTATAATTCATATATGTATATGAATTTAATCTTGTATATTTTAAATGTTAAACATATTGTCTTTAATATATCTCTTAATATCTGAGTTGTCCGATCACATGAATTTAATCATGTATATTTTACATGTTAAGCATATTTTTTTTGTTAAATTAGATTTTTTGCAAGTTATGTTTTTTTATTGATTATGGAAAAAAATAAAATTAACTATTGAATTTGTATGATTCGAGTTTATAATAGTGCTTTTAATTTTATATAATTCTTTTCGATTATTTATATTTTTAGTATATTTTCTTAAACTAAACGTTATTTAGTATTAGATTATTTAATAAAAATTGTTACTTCGTGTTGTTTACTAAATATTGAATTTGTATGATTCGTATTCATAATATTGCTTATAATTTTGTATCATTTCTCTCGAGTATTTAGATTTGGATTATGTAGTAAATATTGTTGGTTTGTGTTGTTCAATAAATATTGAATTTGTTTGATTTATGTTTTTATATGAATTTAATCTTGTATACTTTAATTGTTAAATATATTTTCTTTAATATATCTGTTGATATCTGAGTTGTCAAATAACTTGAATTTAATCATGTATATTTTACATGTTAAGCATATTTTTTTTGTTAAATTAGATTTTTTGCAAGTTATGTTTTTTTATTGATTATGGAAAAAAATAAAATTAACTATTGAATTTGTATGATTCGAGTTTATAATAGTGCTTTTAATTTTATATAATTCTTTTCGATTATTTATATTTTTAGTATATTTTCTTAAACTAAACGTTATTTAGTATTAGATTATTTAATAAAAATTGTTACTTCGTGTTGTTTACTAAATATTGAATTTGTATGATTCGTATTCATAATATTGCTTATAATTTTGTATCATTTCTCTCGAGTATTTAGATTTGGATTATGTAGTAAATATTGTTGGTTTGTGTTGTTCAATAAATATTGAATTTGTTTGATTTATGTTTTTATATGAATTTAATCTTGTATACTTTAATTGTTAAATATATTTTCTTTAATATATCTGTTGATATCTGAGTTGTCAAATAACTTGAATTTAATCTTGTATATTTTACATGTTAAGCATATTTTTTTTGTTAAATTAGATTTTTTGCAAGTTATTTTTTTTTATTGATTATGGAAAAAAAAAAATTGATTATTGAATTTGTATGATTCGAGTTTATAGTAGTGCTTTTAATTTTATATCATTCTTTTCGGTTATTTATATTCTTAGTATATTTTATTAAACTAAACGTTATTTAGTATTGGATTATTTAGTAAAGAATGTTACTTCGTATTGTTTACTAAGTATTGAATTTGTATGATTTGTATTCATAGTATTTGCTTATAATTTTGTATCGTTTCTCTCGCTTGTAATTTTGTATCATTTTTTTCGGGTATTTAGATTTGGATTATTTAGTAAATATTGTTGTTTTGTGTTGTTTATTAAATATTGAATTTGTATAATTTGTGTTTGTACATTAATTTAATTTTGTATATTTTAAATGTTGATGATATTTTCTTTAATATATCTGTTGATATCTGAGTTGTCAAATAACTTGAATTTAATCTTGTATATTTTACATGTTAAGCATATTTTTTTTGTTAAATTAGATTTTTTGCAAGTTATTTTTTTTATTGATTATGGAAAAAAAATAAAATTGATTATTGAATTTGTATGATTCGAGTTTATAGTAGTGCTTTTAATTTTATATCATTCTTTTCGGTTATTTATATTCTTAGTATATTTTATTAAACTAAACGTTATTTAGTATTGAATTATTTAGTAAAAAATGTTACTTCGTATTGTTTACTAAGTATTGAATTTGTATGATTTGTATTCATAGTATTGCTTATAATTTTGTATCGTTTCTCTCGCTTGTAATTTTGTATCATTTTTTTCGGGTATTTAGATTTGGATTATTTACTAAATATTGTTGTTTTGTGTTGTTTATTAAATATTGAATTTGTATAATTTGTGTTTGTATATTAATTTAATTTTGTATATTTTAAATGTTGATGATATTTTCTTTAATATATCTCTTGATATCTGCGTTGTCAAATAACTTGAATTTAATCTTGTATATTTTACATGTTAAGCATATTTTTGTTTGTTAAATAAATTTTTTTGCAAGTTATGTTTTTTTTTATTAATTATGAAAAAAATAAAATTGACAATTGAATTTGTATGATTCGTATTTATAGTATTGCTTGAATGAAAGAGAGAGATACAGAAGAATATTTTCGTGATATTTACTATCTAATATTTATTACATAATTTTCCTTTAGAGAGAGATATAGATGAATATTTTCGTAATATACTATTTTTCTTTGTGATATATACTATCTATCTACAGAGAGTAGTATTTACTTGAATCAGACACTATTTAATATTTTCGTGAGATACAGAGAAAAATATTATGAAAAATTGATAATTTTTGTGTGAATTGAGCTTGAAAGAGAGATATAGACGAATGAGAGAGAGATATTTGCTTGATTTAAGAAAAAAATTTGAAAAAATTAAAGTTTAGAATATCAATTTTTGGACACTATAAATTTTGAGCAGTAAAAATATTTCAAAAGAGTTAATGTGATATATCGGATCAAAACGATCTGAGACGTCAATAAATCGAGACAGTTTGGGATAACGTCATTTGTTAGATGACATATTTTTTTGTCACGAAACGATTTAGACCACAATTTGTCTCTAAAATTCAAATTCATTATATTTTATTTATATATATATATATATCAAAATAATTAAATTTGACAGAATATCAAAATACAAAGAAAAAAAAATCACACAACACATATGACATTAAATAAAAATTAAATTGAGAAATACTATTAACATGCATCTCACTAAAAAAAATTTATATTGAAAAAGTTATTTTATATTGGGTGAAAATAATGAATAAAATCCTAAATTTGAAAAAATAGAATATAACCTTGTTATTAAAATGGTGTGTATAGTACTTGATGAGCTGGAATAGATATATAAAGAATAGATTTAATAATTTGATTATAAAAAATTTAACGGGATAGAAATAGATATTTGTGGAGGTAAAAATAACGCCACGCAATCCAATTTGGCACCGGTCAACGACGCCTTAATAATTTCCTTTCTCTCATTCCGTTTCCCTCATTTTCTCTCTTCCCGAAACCCCCTCTCTTCCTACCCTGAACTTGCTCTCTGAAGAAACACAATGGAACACCAGTCCGTACAATCCGAATCGAACAGCCACATTGAAGACAACACAAGCAACAATCACGGATGGCAAAAGGTGACGTATGCGAAACGTCAGCGAAAAACTCTCGCCAAACCGGCGGCTACCGGAAATAGCATTCCCAACGGATCTTCTATTTCCGGCGGTGAAACTGTGTTTACGTCGCTGGAAAAACAATCGGAGGAGCGGCGCCGGCGAATCGAAGCCCAGAGAGCGGCGGTTCTGGCTGATGTGGAAGCTCCGGTGAGATTGTCCGGTAAGAAAAGGGACGATGATTATGAGGAAGGGGATGAGACTGATTCGGAAGCTGTTGAGAACGGAAAGCTTGAGGAAAAGAAGTTGGTGAAGGCCAAGAAGCCAAAGAAACCGAAGGTCACGGTGGCGGAAGCTGCAGCGAAGATCGACGCCGCTGATCTCGTCGCTTTTCTCGCTGATATTATGGTATAAATTTGTCAAATGATTATGAAATTCGTCTAAGTTTAGTTATTATGGTCATTTTTGGATAATTTGGTTTGATTTGTATGGAATCAAGAAATGCAATTTTCAATTTGTTTGATTTTGATTCTTTCAATTCTTGTTTCTTTTTGGTTGCAGGGGTCCTATGAATCACAGGAGGAGATTCTGTTGATGCGATTTGCGGATTATTTTGGACAAGCATTTTCGGCAGTGAATGCGTCTCAGTTTCCATGGCTGAAGCTGTTCAGGGAGTCCACTGTTGCCAAGATTGCAGATGTGAGTTGGCCTTCGTTAGTTCTTTGAGATTCATAACATTGAAGGTCGGATTGTCTTGGAAGGTCACATTTTTTTGGAAAATGATTTATCTTGCTGAAATTCAAATGACTGTTGATGTTTTTTAATTATATGAGCTAATATATTGATATTGATATGGGGCATTAAGATATTGAAATTCCAATGCACATTATGATATGTTTTTTCAGGAAGCTTGAATCCTTTTAAATGGCATCATTTGTGGATGGTGAATATGTACACTTATTGTGTCATGTGACACAAAATTAAACTGTTATTGGATACCTAGATTCGTCATATTGGTTCTTTCTTTTTGGTTTCTATACAAATAACTTATATGTGAAACATTTTATTAGCTTGTTTTGGTTATGAATTTTTATCCTTTCTCTGTAATATATTTTGTGCTGATTGAGAGGGATGCACTTATGCTTTGATAGTTCATATGCTGGTGATCCTTTATTGTGCCTAGCTTACATGCACAAAGTTGTTAGTTCCATTTTAATTATTTTTGAAGCCTCGGGCTGTGTAAAAACATAAAATCAATAGATTATTGAAAAAAATTTGGAAGCTGGATTTCATTCATTCTATTGAATCCCTTCGTTGTTTTGTTCCTATTTAAAAGACTTTGTAAAGCTTAAGTTGATTTATGCTCAACAGATCCCTGTTTCTCATATTTCTGAAGCCGTATATAAGACTTCAATTGACTGGATCAATCAACGTTCCTATGAGGCACTTCGATCCTTTGTTTTATGGTTGTTGGACAGTATTCTTGCTGATGTAGCAAGCCAACAGGCAGGTCCCAAGGGCTCAAAAAAAGGTGTGCAACAAACATTCTCGAAATCCCAGGTACTTCTTCCCTCATACATATGTATTTTTATCTGTTTCTGTCTCTAATAGTTGTATTGAAGAATTTACCTATTATTGATCTACTAATGCATGTACAGCCTTTTTTTTAATGTCAAATGTTAAGTTTTTTGACAACCAGAATTGTTGCCCATTTTAGGCACATGTCATGTGGGAACCACTGGAAATGATTATATGTAAAAGTCACCAAATTAATTCCTGGGTACCAATAACATTTTATGATGTTTTTTCCAGTATTCATCATAGGCATGGTCAGATATGCTCAATCTTACTCTATTTATGGAGAGGCTTGTGACTCGAATCTGAAATGTTGAGGTCACGATGAAGTTGCACCAAGACCTTCTCTCTCAATGCATACAAAATATCTATTTTCAAAAATAAATCCTACTAGAGGCATTAGAAAAAGAGTGCTGCCAGTTTTAACTAGAGTATCCTGGTCTTGCTAGATCTCAATTCTTCTGTTGATTCCTAGAAAATAACAGCTGTTGGAATATATAGGCATAAAAAATTTTGGATTGTTGAATTTGTGAAAGAAATTGTACCTGTTTTATATCAATTGGATCAAAATCTTATTTGCCTGGGGATAATGTTCCCTGGTAACTCAGTTGATTTCATGTTGATGTGCACGTATATGTATGTAAACTCACGAATAATGGAAATATAGAAAGCTCCAAGATAATAAAAGCATCACAACTGCTTATTGGTTTGTAAGGTTAGAATCTAGTGCCGGAGTTCTTTGTTCATGTGATATGGGGGCATAAAAACTGGAGTCCATAACACCCACCCCCACCCCCACTCCCATCCCCTTCTCCCCTTATAGCTAAATCCCCTCCCTTCTCAGATGGTCGGTCTTTTTGGCAAATATTTGCAATACAAATTTGGTTATAGTTTTCTGCTGATGTTTTAACCTTTTTTCCCTGCCTCCCCACTGATGACTGGGTTGCTTATGCTGGGTTATACACATGTATATGCACATGTGTATATAGTTTTTCACTCTAATTATGCGCAACTTGCATATGTTCCAATCCTTGTAACTGGAAATCCCCCCACCCCCACTTCCAAAACGGAAAAATGAAGATACTCGTATCATGCATTATCAATTAAGCTGTCATCAGTAATGTGCTGCTAATGTGATATATTGGACTAAATAGTGGTCTGATGTACACTTACGTATTGTTGAAATGGCAGGTTGCTATATTTTTAGTTTTAGCAATGGTGTTGCGACGGAAACCTGATGTTCTGATCCACGTGTTTCCAAAGTTGAAGGAAAATTCAAAGTATCAAGGACAAGATAAGCTTCCAGTTATTGTGTGGATGATAGCTCAGGTGAACAAATAAAGTTAATAGTAGGGCAGCTAAGGATCTTTTGAAGAGAATAAATAATTGTTTTTTATTTGTATCTGTTATTTGTTTCCCATTAATGTGGATTATATGCCAGAATATTTTTTACAAGATATTTTAGTGTCATTTTCATAACATCAAAACAATTATAAAAAAAAAATAAAAAATTATTGTACAATTCCACTCGGCCATTGGTTCGGTGCAAGGGTCTGTAACACTCCCCTCTTGCCTCGATCATGGTCACTAACTGATACCAAAATCTCACTATACATAAACAAAACACATTAATTTAATTCGTTGTGGACTAACAGAAAATGAAACAAGTATAATTTGTTACTCATAACATATGGCGTCAAATATAGCGTACACCAACACATACTCAAATGGCAAGTTTTTGTCAAATATGTAAATGTATATTGCACGCTCCACATCAGCATCAATATGGGTTATTCATGGGAACACCACATCTACCATCTACAACAACGAAAATTGGGAACATAAGGGGTTCAAAGTGCCACTCACATGAAAATGCATGTTCAATTTTTAATACACAATACAATAAAACATTCTTCAACTGGTTGGTGTCCCTCTGCTACTTGTGGATCATCCAATTCAACCTACAGTATAAAGTTGCACCAATGTGTTAGTTCACGCCAACAAGTCAGCAGTAAGAGATGTGGTAATACATTGCTCTAAACATGTACGGTTTCACCAGTACAACGAATAATATGCACACATGCGTGAGATCACTTGGTGGTCGCCGGTTTATCAACAAATTGGGACACAAACTGTCCTATCTCACCTAGTCGTTTTTCCATCAAAGACAAAGAAGTTGTGCAGTGTGATGCAAAAGTATCAAACTTTTTTTCCATGCACTCGACTATAACCTCAAGTCTTCCTATTCTTACCCCAAAATCCTATGAACCAATATACGTAATAATTCACAGTAAATGCATATATTTGCATCCACAAATTACCAAAAAAATAAAATTACAAATAAATTGAGGTAAATGTATTAAGTGGTCATATTATATTAGGAAGATTCTTTGGGAAATATATACATTATACATCATATATTTACATACATCTGACATTGCTTGCTAGGATGCGGTACCAAGTGCACCATCACTTAGCTCCTCCTCAACAAAAACATTCAACTACATACATAAAACAAAAGAAATATGTGCGTCAAATACTATCTAAGACATTACCATACAACAGTGCATATGAAAAAGCATGTAAAAAAAAATATAATGTATACCTCCTCCAGGTGAAAGCCTCCTAACTTCAAGATATCATTCATCTGTTTATTCACATCGCTGTCACCCCANCGCGTCAAATACTATCTAAGACATTACCATACAACAGTGCATATGAAAAAGCATGTAAAAAAATATATAATGTATACCTCCTCCAGGTTAAAGCCTCCTAACTTCAAGATATCATTCATCTGTTTATTCACATCGCTGTCACCCCAATCTACAATTCGTGGGACCTCACGAAAAATCATAGGAATGATGGTTTGTCCTCTTGGTGTAACGTGTTCTAGATATAAAACCTGTATACCAAATAAAATGATAACCATAAGACACTATTTACACATTGTATAAAACATACACATTAACAATCACGTCACGTATAAGTAAATTACCATCAAAACTACAAGATAGCCACCCAATGATCCTTAATCGGAACTTTGAAATTTTTGAATGCCTTCAATGACTCCATCAAATACAAACTTGCACTAATTAGTATGTCTTAATGAAGGCACGTCAACAACAGAGTGTAATACAACAACACTTANGTAGCCACCCAATGATCCTCAATCGGAACTTTGAAATTTTTGAATGCCTTCAATGACTCCATCAAATACAAAATTGCACCAATTAGTATGTCTTAATGAAGGCACGTCAACAACAGAGTGTAATACAACAACACTTAGCTTTGTTTGCATTGTAGGACGAAGCATACAACCAATAATATATAAAACAAACAGCCGTATAAAATCGTTAGAGGCATCTGTCATTGAACTAAGGCACTCCGACAAATGTTTCAAAGAAACCTCCGCTTGACCATTAAATATAGACATAGAAAGATCAGTAATGTTGTCCTTAGTACCCGTTGTCACCACATTTGTCCCTGAAAATTGCAACCCTAGTATGTACGTGACACCTTGGGGGCTGAACTTTGCCCATTTCCCATATAAGTTGAAAGCACACTGATGGGGATCAAATCGTCCNTCCATTAAATATAGACATAGAAAGATCGGTAATGTTGTCCTTAGTACCCGTTGTCACCACATTTGTCCCTGAAAATTGCAACCCCAGTATGTACGTGACACCTTGGGGGCTGAACTTTGCCCATTTCCCATATAAGTTGAAAGCACACTGATGGGGATCAAATCGTCCGGCCAACCATGCACACAAATCACACCTGATTTATGTGCCTTGTATGCTTAGCAATCCACCCAAGCCAATTTGATGATGGCTTGTTTTTGTGCGGCATTCAAATTTGCTGTGAATTTCGTAAGTCTTTTTGGTGAACATCTAGTGGCTACATAATGTTGTACATGTTAAGTAATGGAACTATTAATACGGATCGGTACATGTCAAGTTGAACATAAAGAGGTTTATTTATATGCATAATGGTCTAAATAACTTAATGTAATAATTTATAACATACTTGTCCAGATGTCTCGCCTATACTATCCACTCGTTTTCGCCTTTGTCGGTTCCTTGGCGTGGCAATAGTAACCATTCGTTTTCTCTTTACCCTGGTGCAAGTTGTTGTCATTTAATAAAAATTGGGAAAATATAACATATACTTGGTGCAAGATCAATCAAATTTCTTTACATTGTCTTTGCTGAAAATGTAATTACTATTCTCCACAAAAGGGCTTCTAAAATGAATCACCGTTACCTACAAAACATCATTTATTGGATTAGAATTGATTATAAATAGTGGGTACACAACAAGCAAAATATCAAAGGACATTGCGGAAAGTGGTAAATAAGACCTAATATAAGTAGATTCTTGTTCACGATATTGGTACATTCAACATCTAAAGGATAGTGTACTAATGAACATCCACTCAATGCCTAAACAAATGAACATCCAATCAATGCAATAATCATGAATTACGAACAAAACAACTTTACTTACTGTATTTGTGAAATGCACTAATGGCGAAAACTTGACAATATCAAAGGACCAAATAAGACTCACAAAATAAATATAACTCACCACTAAAACCAAATCATTTATCAATTGTCGCCACAACATAAATGAATTCCTTAACAAAATACAAATGAATGAATGACAAAGTAGGATTATCAATTACACTCAAGATTGACGAAACTAAAAAGAACTAAAACAAAAAATGTGTAGACATAAAAGTGGGTGCATGGGCAAGTGATCAAGTGAACATATATAGACTTTGGCATCATGTAGGTTTGAATAATATGCCACTACCACTAGGGCATGATAACACTATCCAAATTTTTGCACTCATTCAACCATCCATTAAATAAAAATAAAGAATGATGACTTCGCAGAATTATTTGGAATCGAAAGATACACAACCTAAGTATTCACACTTAAAGTAACCTAAACTGATGCAATTACCAAATCAATTCAAGTAGAAGAAATGCAATTACCAATCCAATAAATTTAATCGAATATAAAATAACTACAAAGTTTGCACCAAAATCAAACATGAAGTACTTAAAAAATTCATTGAACCTTATGAAATCAAATTAAAATTACGTCTAATCAAACTAATTTCACCTAAAGTCATTGAAAATTTTAGGGGGTGGGTTGCGCAGACGGGCAAGAGGGAGGGGGTGGTACTGCGAGTGTATGTGTGTGTTGTTAGTTGAGAGAGAAGGAGAAAAGAGGGAGACTTACCTGGGAGGGCTGTGGCGGTGGATCTGACAATGATTGACGGTGAGAGAGAAGGTCGAATGTGATAGTTGTGTGGGGCTGTGGTGATTAAGTTTGCCATTGTCAGAATGGGCAACAAACCACTCGAACCGCTATGGAGAGAGAGAGAGAGAGAGAGGGAAGACAGATAGAAGGAAAAAGAGAAGGGGTTTTGAAAATATCGGTTCTAAGAGATAAAGAGAGAGGGAGTAGAATAAGAGAGAAAAAAGGGAGGTTAACGATTGGGGGATTTGGGCGGGCAAATGGGTAAGTTTTTTTTTTCTTTTTAATGAAGTTTGAATATCATATTATTTTGGGGTGTTTTGTTTGTTCATATAACATAAATGGGGTTATAAATCTCCCCAAGATAATTTGAATTTTTTTAATCGATTTTAAAAATATAAATTACATTTTACTATATTCCACCTAACATAACATGTAATTTAATTCATCCAAATAAAATTATAGTTGGCATTAAATTAATCAGACTAAGTAAATAAAAAAAAACAAAATTTGAACCATTATTAAAAAAAAAAAATTGTGAACTACTCAAATCCAAAGGGTATATATATTAAAACTAATTTGTTAATGGACTTACAAGGACGTGCAAGACATGTACAACAACAATCGAAAATAATTAATCGGGTTTTCATATGAGTAAATTTCTCATTCGTGGTAAACGGGTTAACCCGTCATACACGTTTAGTTGTGCAGTGAATGTTCAAGTGATTCTTGTCAACCCTTTTAATACTCGCCTACCCATTTTTTTAAAATTAATATAATAATATCGTAATAATTACTATTAAAATGTTATCCATAAATTTTTTTGAATGCCTATTTAATGCCAATTTTTTTAAAAAAATTAATTACATTGTACTTGGTTACACCCATAGGAGTTACAACTTTTATGAGTGTATTTGAACGCAATTGTGGTAAATAGTTTACAATTTTGCTGAAAAGCCATGCAATCTTCATTGTAATTTATCACATACCATTAACAGTTACCAACCAAATACCACCCTAAAGTTATTGACCCTCACCAACTACTGCTTATCAGATGAAAGCTCAAATTTTATGTAGTTACCGTGAACCAACTCCAACATCACAAGTTGAAGATATTGACACATGATTGGAACCATACATATCTACATCTACATGAGAGGAGAGTAAATTCCACAGGTATGTCATACATGATACCAACTATTTTGAATGCCATTTATTTTGAATACATTAGAATATNTTCATTTGGGCTGGAGGATAACAACTGGATATCAAATGTGTACGAAATGCGTTGAAAATGGGTTGAAGCATTCTTGCGGGGTCATTTCTTTGTCGGCATCAAAAGCACGCAATGCTCAGAAAGCTTGAATGGTTACTTGAGTCGTTTCCTGAAAACAAGGCTTCGTTTGTATGAATTTGTTAGACAATATGATAGTGGTGTATCAAGAATCTGAGAAATCGAAGCCTATGATAATCATTATTCTGAAAACAGTACCCCAGTGTTGACCACTACACTACGCTGCTTAGACCAGCACGCTTCCTCACTATATACCAGGTCAATTTTTTTTTAAAAGTGCGGGATCATATAAAGGACGAAGGACTCTTCTTCGTGGTCCAAAAAATTCAGCACAGTACTCATTCGAGTTATTATCTATTGAAGTACACAAAACCAACATCCAATTGGAATGTGATATATGATTATTAGAATCACACCATCAAATGCAATTGCTTGAAATTACAATCCGTTGGACTTCCTTGCTCACACATCATTACAGTTTTGAAAACTGAACAAATAACAGAGTTCATTCCTTATACTATTATAAAGCAATGGACAATTACTGCAAAATCAGCTTTCCCATCGAGCTCTGTGCCTTAAACGTCAAGAACCATATCAATTTCTTGTCGATATGCTGGATTAATGTCAATGTGTAGTCGGATGTGTTACTACGATACACAATTGCCTGAGGATGCACAGGAGCTTCGAACAACAAAAACTGCAGTAACCAATCGTATGAAACAACATCATGATACACGCGAGGCAAGACAGGTGTCAGCATCGCAGGACAAAGATAATGAGACTGTGTCGACCAGAAAATTTGGTGTCATCGATCCCAAGACAATGACAACCAAAGGCAATCTAGGCTGTGTACGGAAGAACTTACCAATAGCTCTGCGATAATGTAGTAAATGTCGTGGCACTGGACATACTATTCGTAAGTGTCCGCAGCTGACATGCCATGCAGACGACCCACATGATGACATACCCTTCTCATAACATGGTGGCTTCCAACATCCCATGCCATCAACTCAAGAAGACGACCATTGGAATCTAACTTACAATTACAATGTCCTCTGATATCAGGTTTCATACATTATCACCTCTTAATTACTATGGAAAATTCATCAAATTACCAACATGGTTTTCATATCCATTTTTTATTTTTCTTAACAACAACTGATATACTGGAGAGGGTATAGGGTGAGTTGGATGTAACATTGAGCCGTGAAGAGATATACTGGAGACCAAAACCCAATTTGCAATGGACTGTTGAGAGAGCGACAAAGGCTGTTGAGGGGCACTGGATGATGACAATGGAAAACAATTCTTGAGTGCTTTGCAGATTAGCCTATCTCGTAAGGTGAAAGTTAAATGTAGATGGGTACAGTGGAGGAGCCAAGGTGTTGGATCATTGAAGCTTAATATAGCCAAGGCTTCCAAGAAAAACCCAGGGATTGCAGGGGGAGGAGCTGTGGTGCGTAATAAATGGTGTGGAATTATTGTGGCTGCCTCCTCTTTTTTTTTTATGGGCAGTGTTCTAACATCATTGCGGAATTAAGAGCATTGTGCAATGGATTGAAGCTTGTTTTGGCATATGGTTTGACTTGTTGCAGGTTTGAAATTGAACGTGATCCATTGATTTTGGTGATTAGTGTTTTGGGTATTAGTGACTGTCCTTGGACATTTTTGAGCTATTTGAGACAGATCAGTGGTTTCTTCAGGGGTCTAGATTATAGCTTGGTGCATATTTTTCGTGAGGCGAATGCGGGTGATGCTAATAGTCTTGCTGGGCAAGTGGTAAAGAGTAGATATTCGGTTGATTTTTTGATGGGTTTGAGATTGCCTTGTGATGTTACCTTGACTCTGTCATTTGATCAACAAAGTCTCCCTATTTTGCTAAAAAGAAATAGGGTGGTCTTCGATGATAAGGGGTAATAGGAGCTGTTGTTGGAGCTTTTTGTCTTGGATTATTAAGTGTTGATTTGTTTGAAACAAGGGGAAAAGATAAAAAGCTCTTTATTGTTGATATGTGCTTATGGATTTGGATTGTGATGGGGATTTTTGCTGAAACTTTAGATTTTGATGTAGTGTATTTTTGGCATTGCATTGTTAGTTTTGGCTATAAATTGGTTGTAGATGGGCGTCTATGCTTTTTCCTTTGTTTCTTGTAAATATTTTGCCTTATGAATAATTATAATTCCCTTTTCATTAAAAAAAAAGAAAAGATACCTGCTTGCTTTTGATTCATTTGTGCAGAGGCAGTAGATTAATACTTCTTTAAACATTTTTGAGGTGAGTATGAATACATGGGCTTTGTCATTGCCTTGGTGTTATTTGGTACAAACTATTCAACGATTTCATTAGCATAATGCACTGAATATTTCTTGTAGTGTTAACGAGTACACATCAGGCCACTGAAATATTTTAGGATAATCATCCTTTTGCTCTACGGCAGCTGACCACACAATGCAAATTTCTTAAGTTCCATGGAAGGGTCAACTTCTTTTTTTTTTTTTTACCAAAATGGGGAAATTTTATTGATCGAAGAAGTAATTAC